GCAAGGCCCGATTTGCCTAATAAGCCAAGTTTTCCTAAATTATTATATTTTCTCAAATTTTTTTCTTATGAAATGATAAAGCTACCTATTTCATTATGTATGAGGTCAATTTTTTTTATTAGAGTTAAAATTAACGTAGATATATGACCAAACCTAACCAACCCTACCTAACCTAACCTAACCTATCTTTATAGGTTAGGTTAGGTTAGGTAGCCGAAAAAGTTAGGTTAGGTTAGGTAGTCGAAAAAACATTAATTCATGAAAACTTGGTTTATTAGGCAAATCGGGCCTTACATAGTAGGCTGAGAAGTGCGTTCTGGCTACTAGGTACGACATTATATATATATATATATATATATATATATATATATATATATATATATATATAAATAAAACATTCCCACGTGCATACATACTCCCACACATAGTAAATATGCTAGAGAAAATAGGTCAGATGTCAATACATTGCACAACCGTCGGTTGGAAAGGTGGGGTCCAAGAGCTAACAACTCGGTCCTGCAGACACAAATGGGTTAATACACACACACACACACTCACGGCACATCTAGGTGAACACACACACTCACTATGAACACTGCAATTTTCCTGGACTGCCAGAAAACCTTTGACACAGTACCCCATAAAAGGCTGTTAAAAACGTTGGAGTAAAAGGGAAGGTGTTCCAGTGGATAAGGGAGTACTTAAGCATCAGGAAACAGCGAGTAACGGTGAGGGGGGAGACATCAGAGTGGCGAGATGTCACCAGCGGAGTCCCACAGGGCTCAGTACTTAGACCCACCCTGTTTCTAATATATGTAAACGATCTTCCGGAGGGTATAGACTCATTCCTCTCAATGTTTGCTGATGATGCAAAAATTATGAGAAGAATCAAGACAGATGAAGATACAGAGACTACAGGATGACCTGGACAAACTGGAGGAATGGTCTAGAAAATGGCTGCTGAAGTTCAACTCAGGAAAGTGTAAAGTAATGAAATTAGGCAAAGGGAGCAGGAGGATGAACACAAGGTATCATCTGGGAGGTGAAATCCTGCAAGAGTCAAATAGAGAGAAAGATCTGGGGATTGATATCACACCGAACCTGTCCCCAGAGACCCACATCAAAAGGATATCATCAGCGGCATATGCTAGGTTGGCCAACATAAGAACTGCCTTTAGAAACTTGTGTAAGGAATCGTTCAGGACCCTGTATACCACTTACGTCAGACCAATTCTAGAATATGTAGCTCCAGCCTGGAGTCCATACCTAGTTAAACACAAGACAAAGTTAGAGAAGATTCAGCGGTATGCCACCAGGCTCGTCCCGGAACTGAGAGGAATGAGCTACGAGCAAAGGCTAATGGAGTTGAACCTCACGTCCCTGGAAAACAGAAGAGTAAGAGGAGACATGATAACCACCTACAAAATTCTCAAGGGAATTGACAGGGTGGACAAAGACAAACTCTTCAGCACGGGTGGAACACGAACAAGGGGACACAGGTGGAAACTTGGTACCCAGATGAGCCACAGAGACGTTAGAAAGAATTTTTTCAGTGTCAGAGTAGTTAATAAATGGAATGCACTAGGAAGTGATGTGGTGGAGGCTGACTCCATACACAGTTTCAAATATAGGTATGATAGAACCCAGTAGGCTCGTGAATCTGTACACCAGTTGATTGACGGTCGAGAGGCGGGACCAAAGAGCCAAAGCTCAACACCCGCAAGCACAACTAGGTGCGTACAACTAGGAGAGTACACACACACACACAGCGGTGTGTGGTAGGGTCTGGTAGCTGAGTGGACAGCGCGGAGGACTCGTAATTCTGTGGCCCGATTCTGATTCCCAGACCAGGCAGAAACAAATGGGCAAAGTTTCTTTCACCCTGAATGCCCCTGTTACCTAGCAGTAAATAGGTACCTAGGAGTTAGACAGCTGTTACGGAGCTGCTTCCTGGGTGTGTGTGGAAAAAACTAGTTAGTAGAGAGGAGGGCCGAAAGAGCAAAAACTCAACTCCCGCAAGCACAACTAGGTGAATACACACACACACACACACAGGGTCGGGACCAAAGAGCCAAAGCTCAACCCCCGCAAGCACAAATAGGTGAGTACACACACAAACACACACACGGCAGAAAGACAATACGAAAATGACATCGCAAGCAAGGCAAAGACTCAGCCTAAATTGTTGCATAGCCACATTAGGAGAAAAACAACAGTAAAGGAACAGGTTATGAGATTAAGGATAGGGGCGGAAGGATTCACTACAAATGACAAGGAAGTGTGTGAGGAATTGAATAAGAAATTCCAGGAGGTCTTCACCTTAGAACAAGGAGAAATTCCAGAGGTAAGTGAGGGAATAGCTAACCAGGAACCACTGGAAGAGTTTGAGATTACCAGTGGGGAAGTAAGGAAGTGTTTACTAGAGTTGGACGTGACGAAGGCTATAGGCCCAGATGGAATCTCCCCTTGGGTTCTAAAGGAAGGAGCAAGAGAACTGAGCCTACCACTCTCCATAGTGTATAACAAATCACTGGCAACAGGGGAACTGCCAGATACTTGGAAAGCAGCTAACGTAGTCCCGATATACAAGAAAGGGGATAGACAGGAGGCACTGAACTACAGGCCAGTGTCCCTAACCTGCATACCATGCAAGCTGATGGAGAAGATTGTGCGAAAAAAACTAGTGGAGCATCTGGAGCGAAGGAACTTTGTAACACAGCATCAACATGGGTTCAGGGATGGCAGGTCCTGCCTCACAGGGTTACTTGAATTCTACGACCAGGCAACAAAATAAGGCAAGAAAGAGAAGGGTGGGCAGACTGCATATTTTTGGATTGTCAGAAAGCCTTTGATACAGTGCCACACAAGAGGCTAGTGCGAAAGTTGGAGATGCAGGCTGGAGTGAGAGGGAAGGTACTCCGGTGGATAGAGGAATACCTAAGCAACAGGAGACAACGAGTCTGTGTGAGGGGTGAGGTCTCAGATTGGCGAGACGTCACAAGTGGAGTCCCGCAGGGGTCAGTCCTTGGACCTATACTGTTTCTGGTATATGTAAATGATCTCCCAGAGGGTATAGATTCGTTCCTCTCAATGTTTGCCGACGATGCAAAAATTATGAGGAGGATTGAAACAGAGGATGATAGTAGGAGGCTACAAGATGACCTGGATAGACTGAGTGAATGGTCCAACAAATGGCTGTTGAAGTTCAACCCGAGTAAATGCAAAGTAATGAAACTAGGCAGTGGAAACAGGAGGCCAGGCACAGGATACAGAATAGGAGATGAAGTACTTAATGAAACAGACAGAGAGAAAGATCTAGGAGTTGATATCACACCAAACCTGTCTCCTGAAGCCCACATAAAGAGAATAACGTCTGCGGCATATGCGAGGCTGGCTAACATCAGAACGGCGTTCAGGAACCTGTGTAAGGAATCATTCAGAATCTTGTACACCACATATGTAAGACCAATCCTGGAGTATGCGGCCCCAGCATGGAGCCCGTACCTTGTCAAGCACAAGACGAAGCTGGAAAAAGTCCAAAGGTATGCTACTAGACTAGTCCCAGAACTAAGAGGCATGAGTTATGAGGAAAGGCTGCGGGAAATGCACCTCACGACACTGGAAGACAGAAGAGTAAGGGGGGACATGATCACAACCTACAAAATCCTCAGGGGAATCGACCGGGTAAACAAGGACGAACTTTTCAACACTGGTGGGACGCGAACAAGGGGACACAGGTGGAAGCTGAGTACCCAAATGAGCCACAGAGACGTTAGAAAGAACTTTTTCAGTGTCAGAGTAGTTAGCAAATGGAATGCATTAGGAAGTGATGTGGTGGAGGCTGACTCCATTCACAGTTTCAAATGTAGATATGATAGAGCCCAATAGGCTCAGGAATCTGTACACCAGTTGATTGACGGTTGAGAGGCGGGACCAAAGAGCCAGAGCTCAACCCCCGCAAGCACAATTAGGTGAGTACAATTAGGTGAGTACACACACACACACACACACACACACACACACACACACACACACACACACACACACACACACACACACACACACACACACACACACACACACACACACACACATATTAGAAAGAACTTTTTTAGTGTCAGAGTGGTTGACAAATGGAATGCATTAGGAAGTGATGTGGTGGAGGCTGACTCCATACACAGTTTCAAGTGTAGATATGATAGAGCCCAGTAGGCTCAGGAACCTGTACACCTGTTGATTGACAGTTGAGAGGCGGGACCAAAGAGCCAGAGCTCAACCCCCGCAAGCACAATTAGGTGAGTATAATTAGGTAAGTACACACACACACACACACACACACACATACATGAGTTACGAGAAAAGGCTGCGCGAAATGCATCTCACGTCGTTGGAAGACAGGAGAGCTCGAGGAGACATGATCACTACCTACAAAATTCTCAGAGGAATTGACAGTGTAGATAAAGATAAATAGTTTACCACAGGTGGTACTCGAAAAAGGGGACACAGGTGGAAACTGAGTACCCAAATGAGCCACAGGGACGTTAGAAAGAATTTTTTCAGTGTCAGTAGTTAACAGATGGAATGCATTAGGCAGTGATGTGGTGGAGGCTGACTCCATACACAGTTTCAAATATGGAAATGATAGAGCCCAGTAGGCTCAGGAATCTGTACAGCAGTTGATTGACTGTTGAGAGGCGGGACCAAAGAACCAGAGCTCAACCCCCGCAAGTACGACTAGGTGAGTACACACACAGGAAAAATCCCGATCTAGGAAACTTTCAAGTCGGAAGCAACAATAATAACGTAGTAGTTTCTATTTAGCCTTTTTAAAGCAATATAAAAAAGTTTTGCTCTTCGTAACCAAATATATCCTACATCAAAATAAGCATCCCCCTGTATCTTTAATTCATATTAGCAACAGTGGCTCCATTTCGTTAGGAAGCTTCATCATGCTTTTATATTTACTTTCTCCATCCCGAAGAGCTTCATTTAATAGCAATATGAGGTCTCTTGGGACGGCTGATGACCCTACCCAATCTCGCCTCTTGAAAAATGCAGGAGAGCGCCTCGTTGCCTTCATGTGTTATGGCGCCAAACTCTCCAGCGTGTCGTCTGCTGCTACCGTTCTCTCTCGGGACACTGGCTTCGCTCTTTGTTAGCGAGGCAGCTTTACGAACTCCAACTCAATAAAACAACCGACTTAAATATTGCCATTCAGCACAAATGTGTATTATTATATTGTAGTTTGTTGAGTTTCAAGTACGGTAACATTGTGAAGGTGGACTTGGGCAGTGTTTCGGACGGTGGGTGTGGCTGCGCGCCAACCAACTCCTCGATCAATATCCGCGTTGAACGTGTGTTGTGTTAGTTTGTGTGTGTGTGTCACGGAGTACTTGCGCTTATTTCGGATTCACCAGGTCAGTAAAACGAGGTTGTCATGTATTTCGTCTTACTATTTACCCCGGGTGCATGCGGCAGGTGGTGCTGGAGGCCTCAGAGGGCGCGTAGGCCGGCTGTGGAGTGACATAGTGAAGCTCAAGGCGTGTTGTTTATTTTGTGGGCGTGACGTCAGTAATTTTGTCCACAAACAACATGCACATCTCGACTTGAATATAGTGGATTTTTACCACGTGGAGTCGCATTATGACTGGTGGATACCCCCGAGGAGAGGCGGGAAGATGGCATGACTTCTCTGAATGTTGTTGACGTGGTTTAAATGAGGTTGTAGGGAGTAAAGCTGAACATAATTCTCTGGAGCGGGTTTGTTTTGGTTCCAAACACGGCACACTCTGGATGCCAGTTTCATGAATTTGACTCAATAGCAGGTCAACTTGTACTCAATCTTTATGCAACTTGCGTAAAAATGGATTAGGACACGCGTCTGTCAACTTTAACAGCAGACATGAACGCGTATAGCCACCGAAATGTGTGGCAAGCCTCGTGTCCAGTGCTTGTTGCGGGGTCGAGACCTTAGCAGTCTTGACCACACCACTACCGACTGTGGGATCAACTCAATAAAATTATATCACTGAAGGGAATTATCATGCAAACGTAATTAAATGAGAACATGCTATAGGTTCGACATTTCTACAGCTACCTGACAATATTATTAAGTCTTATAATTGTGAATGCTCTTGATGCGGTTTTCGTATACTTCATTAACGGAAAGGTTTCATAGCTCTCTCGTGTAATAAACGTGTTGCAAGCATGTAGGCATTTGTTTTCAGAAAGCATATGTTCAGAGACATATTTCCACATTAAGCAGCCATCATATGAATATGCAATACCTCGCCCCAGTTCCTGCTAGGTAACAGGTTAGGTAAAGTCAGACCTTTGTTACAAGACTAGGTTAGATTATCCCATTACCTAGGCAACTTTCTGTCAACAAAATTTTTGTCACAGGTTTAGCTAGATCGTTCACAGGTTAGGCTACGTCTCCTACAGTCACAGACTAGGTTAGCTCAGCCACAGTCACATGCTAGATTAGCTCAGCCAAAGGCTAGGTTAGCTCAGCCAATCATTGGCTGGGTTAGCTCAACCATTATCACAGGTTAGGTTAGACCAGACATTTTCTCGTGAAAAGAATGGACGATTCGTTTATAAACTGGCAATTGAGTTATTGAACAGACTTGGAATAGTTAAATACTGAGGCAACAAGAGTCATCGCTTAACTTGAACTGTATGCGGTTTAATTCCCTCATTCTTTCTACTGGTGGATTCCACGATTAACATTTACTGGATTGTTTATGTAAGTGTTCTGTGGCAAGGTGGTAGATGGCTGTTACTATTTGTAGGGCAGATAGTTAGGTACAAGTGTCAGCTTTTATGACACAATTGAGTATATATTTGTTTTAGTACAATTGGCAATACGGCGTTTAATAATCGAATAATTTAATTGATTATTTATCCTCACACCTTTGTGTTTCTGTACTCTTCTTTAATATTGTTTCCCCTAGTAACGTAAACCTTGTTACTGTTAACATATCCTCCTGTTTATTCTTCCTGCGTTTCGTCCGTTCGTTTTTTTCTATTCCTGTTGTTCTACTTGACCTCTTGTTCTTCCTCGCCTTCAGTTGCTCCTCCTCCTCCTCCCTGATATTCCTCATCTACTGTACCTTCGTGTTATTATTTTTCACCTGTGGCTGTTGAAAAATTGAAATATTCCTATAGTGCTTTTAGCAACCATGTAGCCTAAGTCACGGTGGCAGTGATTGTAGCCTAAGTCACGGTGGCAGTGATTGTAGCCTAAGTCACGGTGGCAGTGATTGTAGCAATGATAATGATAATCACGGTGGCAATGATAATAGCTAAATCAGCATTGTTTAAACTGTTTTTTTTTTCGTTGTTCAAACCCACAGCAAGAACTGCATTTGTGCATTGCGACCTTGCATGCTCATGTGTAATCAATCAGACACCAACTCTGTGAATTACAGTATGTTCCATTATTTATTATTGACACATGATAAATGCATATTTATGGATGAAACTTATTCAATTAAATTACATATTTATATTTTAGGAAGGACATAGAAAAATAAATAGAAACATTTTGCATGAAATTCTACTAAAAAAAAGACATGGTAAACAATATATATTTTTTTAAGTTTTACTTTAATGAGAAGGATGTGCTTGTTTGTTCGTAAGTAGTTGATTCCAATTTGGAACACAAGACAATGCTATATGCTTCTGGTGCAGTGTTTTTAAAGCCTGTTGTTAGTTTTCGTTTTTAGTTGATTTAATGTGCAAAATTCTAGCTCACACAAATAAGTAGTAGTAAAAGGTAATAGTATTAGGATTGCCTTTTTACTTAAAATTGGAAATTCTCATTTAATCTTAGTTCAAAATTATTACAACAATTTAATTTCTCAAAATTATTCTTCAGTGTAAATGGACTACTAAGATGCAGCAATTCATGATCTTCTTCATGATCAATGATTAACTCGGTTATTGATTTAAGGCGTTGAAAACCAAATGGATTTTGTTATCCAATAACTTTTCTTTACTGTTTAAAATTTCTTCGCTGGATAATAGCTATTAACGTTATTTGACAGAGAAGTGAGATGTAACAATATCTAGAGTTTGAATTCTTTTAAAATAACTATATTGACAATGTTCTCAGCAGTGTGTTGTTGCAAACAAAATAGATTGGTTGATCACTTTTAATTCTTGCTTGCTATAGCGTTAACATCTTCTGAAACTCTTATATAAAGTTTTAATATAATGAAATATATAATGTTTTGGAATCTGTTACCTCATTTCCTTGAAGTTTGAAGCTTAAATCGTAAAGAATACTAAACAAAAATCAGTTAAGCCAATTTGGTAACCCAAATATCATCCTCAGTAAATTGTGCCTTGGGATTGTTTCTTTAAAAAAAAATATGAATCCCAGTTCTTGGTTCACACAGCGTACAGCCTCGCCACAACCGTGGCACTTGTGTGTGATACAGTAAGTGGCTATATTCGGCTCCAATCTATGAATATAATACTTCATATATTCTATGTAATTAGCTTACTTTGATAAAAATTGCAATGATGAGCAATTGTCGTTCTCACTTGCTTATTTACCTTTTGAGGATTTTTTTCAGTTTGTCGCTACCTATTTGATTTATTTTGTTCCCCAGTAATAGGTCGGAGACCCGTAGTTTGAAAAACCCTTGGTCTATCTAAATCATGGTATAGTGATTGTACTTGTGTCATGGCGGCGGTGATTGTACAGCTGTGATAGTGGCATAGCGATTTGACTGTGGTCATGGGGGTAACAGCAGTTAAAGTACTCCAATGTTTGTGAAATAATTGTTCGTCTCTTTGGTGGTGCTGCAGAAACTGTTTCCGTGGTGGCCATTTATCAATCATGGGTGTGGAGCCGTGGATGTGGTAATATGTCGGCGTTTGCAACATGTTCTCAGACTATTGGAGAACATGTTGAGACTATTAAATACTGACTATTGCCGATATTTAATAAGTTAGTTTGGCAAAACTAATACATCTGGCAAACAGCTGACATGATGTTTTTATACGGTGTTAAAACAATTTTTTAATATTAAATTAATTGCATATTGGGAGTTTATTCATAGAAGGTCGGGTAATGTGTTGAGTTAGGGAGTGTTTACAGAATTTACTGAATGATGCAGGGTGTGAGTCAAACTTGGATGAGTCAGTGGATAGCTTGTGGACGGGTTGTAGTACACCTTGTGGAATGGCAGCCTCATCTTCATACATCAGCCCGTCCTCCTAAGGTTTCCCAACGTCAAGAAACTGTCTTATCAAATTGCCCTTACCTCAACCCGTCCTCACACTGCTGTTTAAAGCAGCGGCCGTCCTCCCCAGACGCATTCGTCAGTTTGAACACTGTGTATTAAAAATTGGTTTGTTCGCGTATATAAATTAATATTATTATACATACAAATTATATGTATAGTTAGGCGTAGGTTAGGTTAGGGGTTTACGTTCTGTTGGCGATTATTTGTATTTGGATTACGTGGGTGAAGCATTTATAGAATTGTGATTCGAACAGAGAACGTGAGCGAAGCACTTGTTCCGGAAGTGTTTGGACGTCTTCAGTTGAGAGTTGTGTGTAAGCCCGTCCTCCCAACAAAGATCAAAAGTGATTCCATCCATCAGCCAAACCCCCTGTTTATGAATGAAAAGCGGTTTACACACGACTCACAACTGATGACGTACGAACACTTCCGGAACAAGTGCTTCACTGACAAATTTTGTTCGACCCACAACGGTGTAAATGGTTCACCCGTTGTTATAGATTCAGCTACTCGGAACAAGTTCCAAGTAGCACGGGTTATGGTGAGCCCGTAACTTAGCTGGCACAAGAGCGGGGCAAGAAGCACGAGCTATGGTAAGCCTCCTGCTTCACCCACGTACTACAAATATATATAATCGCCAACAGAGCCTAAACACCTAACTATACACAGAACTTTAATATATAATAATATATACACGAGAACAAACCTATTTTTATTATAAAATACGTAAAAATTCATGAATGCGTCTTGGAAGTCGGTCGCAGCTTTAACGAGCCTAGCATGAAGACATGTTGCTTAATCACTATAAATACTTCTTTCACGTATTGCAAACACAAATAATCGCCAACGGAGCTTAAACATATACCCTAACCTAACCCATGCCATTATATACAATTCTGATATATAATAATATTAATTGGGAAGGGAGTACCACCTCTGGCTGGAAGAACGGGACCCTTAGCCTCGGAGGAAACCATTCATAACGCAAATATTAATAATATTAATTTATATTGTTGACCAGACCACACACTAGGACTTGAGAATGGTCCAGGACGGACCGAAACGTCGTCGTCCCTTCAACTTCTAGTGTGTGGTCTGGTCAACATACTTCAGCCACGTTATTGTGACTCATCGCCTGCATTAATTTATATATTAGAAAAAACGGCTTTAAATATGCAGCACGTTAAAAAAATATATGAAGCGTGTTTATGGGGACCACAACCTGGAGGAGCTTGCCAGAGGCAGGGTGAAGACCCGTGGAATGAATATCCTTCGAAATGTATAACTTTATGGACTGTATACCTCGTGGAATGTATACCCTGCGGAATGTATACGAATGCAAGGGGGCGGTGCATATACTGTAACTTGCTAGCCGTAGCGTAGTATGATGTAACACGGTCGTATGAAGGACCATGTGTATTACACAATACGCTGAGTGCTCTGGTTATCACAGAGATTCAGTTACACCTTGTAACGCAGGAACTTAGCTCCGGGGCTCCGGCAGTCGCACTTGCAATTTGTTAAACTATTGGGACGTATAGCCTCGGGAGACCGCTCGTCTCTCATGCCTGGTGTTAGGCTACTTATTCCAGCATGTTGGCTTCACACCCTTGTAATTCAGATCCTCAGCCCTGTAGTTCAGTTCCTCACCCCTGTAGTTCAGTTCCTCACCCCTGTAGTTCAGTTCCTCACCCCTGTAGTTCAGTTCCTCACCCCTGTAATTCAGATCCTCAGCCCTGTAGTTCAGATCCTCAGCCCTGTAGTTCAGTTCCTCACCCGTGTAGTTCAGATCCTCAGCCCTGTAGTTCAGTTCCTCACCCCTGTAGTTCAGATCCTCAGCCTTGTAGTTCAGTTCCTCAGCCCTGTAGTTCAGTTCCTCACCCCTGTAGTTCAGATCCTCAGCCATGTAGTTCAGATCCTCAGCCCTGCAGTTCAGTTCCTCACCCCTGTAGTTCAGTTCCTCACCCGTGTAGTTCAGATCCTCAGCCTTGTAGTTCAGATCCTCACCCCTGCAGTTCAGATCCTCAGCCCTGTAGTTCAGATCCTCAGCCCTGTAGTTCAGATCCTCACCCCTGTAGTTCAGTTCCTCACCCGTGTAGTTCAGATCCTCAGCCTTGTAGTTCAGATCCTCACCCCTGCAGTTCAGATCCTCAGCCCTGTAGTTCAGATCCTCAGCCCTGTAGTTCAGTTCCTCAGCCCTGTAGTTCAGATCCTCAGCCCTGTAGTTCAGATCCTCAGCCCTGTAGTTCAGATCCTCAGCCCTGTAGTTCAGATCCTCAGCCTTGTAGTTCAGATCCTCAGCCCTGTAGTTCAGATCCTCACCCCTGTAGTTCAGATCCTCAGCCCTGTAGTTCAGTTCCTCACCCGTGTAGTTCAGATCCTCAGCCTTGTAATTCAGATCCTCAGCCCTGTAGTTCAGATCCTCAGCCCTGTAGTTCAGATCCTCAGCCCTGTAGTTCAGTTCCTCAGCCCTGTAGTTCAGTTCCTCAGCCCTGTAGTTCAGATCCTCAGCCCTATAGTTCAGATCCTCAGCCCTGTAGTTCAGATCCTCACCCCTGTAGTTCAGATCCTCACCCCTGTAGTTCAGATCCTCACCCCTGTAGTTCAGATCCTCAGCCCTGTAGTTCAGATCCTCACCCCTGTAGTTCAGATCCTCACCCCTGTAGTTCAGTTCCTCACCCGTGTAGTTCAGATCCTCAGCCTTGTAGTTCAGTTCCTCAGCCCTGTAGTTCAGATCCTCACCCCTGTAGTTCAGATCCTCACCCCTGTAGTTCAGTTCCTCACCCCTGTAGTTCAGTTCCTCACCCTTGTAGTTCAGTTCTTCACCCTTGTAGTTCAGTTCCTCACCCTTGTAGTTCAGTTCCTCACCCCTGTAGTTCAGTTCCTCACCCTTGTAGTTCAGTTTCTCACCCTTGTAGTTCAGTTCCTCACCCTTGTAGTTCAGTTCCTCACCCCTGTAGTTCAGTTCCTCACCCCTGTAGTTCAGTTCCTCACCCTTGTAGTTCAGTTCCTCACCCCTGTAGTTCAGTTCCTCACCCCTGTAGTTCAGTTCCTCACCCCTGTAGTTCAGTTCCTCACCCCTGTAGTTCAGATCCTCACCCCTGTAGTTCAGATCCTCAGCCCTGTAGTTCAGATCCTCAGCCCTGTAGTTCAGATCCTCAGCCCTGTAGTTCAGTTCCTCAGCCCTGTAGTTCAGTTCCTCAGCCCTGTAGTTCAGTTCCTCAGCCCTGTAGTTCAGTTCCTCAGCCCTGTAGTTCAGTTCCTCAGCCCTGTAGTTCAGTTCCTCAGCCCTGTAGTTCAGATCCTCAGCCCTGTAGTTCAGATCCTCAGCCCTGTAGTTCAGATCCTCAGCCCTGTAGTTCAGATCCTCAGCCCTGTAGTTCAGATCCTCAGCCCTGTAGTTCAGTTCCTCACCCTTGTAGTTCAGTTCCTCACCCCTGTAGTTCAGTTCCTCACCCTTGTAGTTCAGTTCCTCACCCTTGTAGTTCAGTTCTTCACCCTTGTAGTTCAGTTCCTCACCCCTGTAGTTCAGTTCCTCACCCTTGTAGTTCAGATCCTCACCCCTGTAGTTCAGTTCCTCACCCCTGTAGTTCAGTTCCTCACCCTTGTAGTTCAGTTCTTCACCCTTGTAGTTCAGTTCCTCACCCTTGTAGTTCAGTTCCTCACCCCTGTAGTTCAGTTCCTCACCCTTGTAGTTCAGTTCCTCACCCCTGTAGTTCAGTTCCTCACCCCTGTAGTTCAGTTCCTCACCCCTGTAGTTCAGTTCCTCACCCCTGTAGTTCAGTTCCTCACCCTTGTAGTTCAGTTCCTCACCCTTGTAGTTCAGTTCCTCACCCCTGTAGTTCAGTTCCTCACCCCTGTAGTTCAGTTCCTCACCGCTGTAGTTCAGTTCCTCACCCCTGTAGTTCAGTTCCTCACCCCTGTAGTTCAGATCCTCACCCCTGTAGTTCAGATCCTCACCCCCTGTAGTTCAGATCCTCACCCCCTGTAGTTCAGATCCTCACCCTTGTAGTTCAGATCCTCAGCCCTGTAGTTCAGATCCTCAGCCCTGTAGTTCAGATCCTCAGCCCTGTAGTTCAGATCCTCAGCCCTGTAGTTCAGATCCTCAGCCCTGTAGTTCAGATCCTCAGCCCTGTAGTTCAGATCCTCAGCCCTGTAGTTCAGATCCTCAGCCCTGTAGTTCAGATCCTCAGCCCTGTAGTTCAGTTCCTCAGCCCTGTAGTTCAGTTCCTCAGCCCTGTAGTTCAGATCCTCAGCCTTGTAGTTCAGTTCCTCAGCCCTGTAGTTCAGTTCCTCACCCCTGTAGTTCAGATCCTCAGCCTTGTAGTTCAGTTCCTCAGCCCTGTAGTTCAGATCCTCAGCCCTGTAGTTCAGATCCTCAGCCCTGTAGTTCAGATCCTCAGCCCTGTAGTTCAGATCCTCAGCCCTGTAGTTCAGATCCTCAGCCCTGTAGTTCAGATCCTCAGCCCTGTAGTTCAGATCCTCACCCCTGTAGTTCAGATCCTCACCCCTGTAGTTCAGATCCTCACCCCTGTAGTTCAGATCCTCAGCCCTGTAGTTCAGATCCTCAGCCCTGTAGTTCAGATCCTCAGCCCTGTAGTTCAGATCCTCAGCCCTGTAGTTCAGATCCTCAGCCCTGTAGTTCAGTTCCTCAGCCCTGTAGTTCAGTTCCTCAGCCCTGTAGTTCAGATCCTCAGCCCTGTAGCTCAGATCCTCAGCCCTGTAGTTCAGATCCTCAGCCCTGTAGTTCAGATCCTCAGCCCTGTAGTTCAGTTCCTCAGCCCTGTAGTTCAGTTCCTCAGCCCTGTAGTTCAGTTCCTCAGCCCTGTAGTTCAGTTCCTCACCCCTGTAGTTCAGTTCCTCACCCCTGTAGTTCAGTTCCTCACCCCTGTAGTTCAGTTCCTCACCCCTGTAGTTCAGTTCCTCACCCCTGTAGTTCAGTTCTTCACCCCTGTAGTTCAGTTCCTCACCCCTGTAGTTCAGTTCCTCACCCCTGTAGTTCAGTTCCTCACCCCTGTAGTTCAGTTCCTCACCCTGTGTAGTTCCTCAGTTCAGTTCCTCACCCCTGTAGTTCAGTTCCTCACCCCTGTAGTTCAGTTCCTCACCCCTGTAGTTCAGTTCCTCACCCTTGTAGTTCAGTTCCTCACCCCTGTAGTTCAGTTCCTCACCCCTGTAGTTCAGTTCCTCACCCCTGTAGTTCAGTTCCTCACCCCTGTAGTTCAGTTCCTCACCCCTGTAGTTCAGTTCCTCACCCCTGTAGTTCAGTTCCTCACCCCTGTAGTTCAGTTCCTCACCCCTGTAGTTCAGATCCTCAGCCCTGTAGTTCAGATCCTCAGCCCTGTAGTTCAGTTCCTCAGCCCTGTAGTTCAGTTCCTCAGCCCTGTAGTTCAGTTCCTCAGCCCTGTAGTTCAGATCCTCAGCCCTGTAGTTCAGATCCTCAGCCCTGTAGTTCAGATCCTCAGCCCTGTAGTTCAGATCCTCAGCCCTGTAGTTCAGATCCTCAGCCCTGTAGTTCAGATCCTCAGCCCTGTGTAGTTCAGTTCAGTTCCTCACCCTTGTAGTTCAGTTCCTCACCCCTGTGTAGTTCAGTTCCTCACCCTTGTGTAGTTCAGTTCCTCACCCTCACCCCTGTAGTTCAGTTCCTCACCCTTGTAGTTCAGTTCCTCACCCTTGTAGTTCAGTTCTTCACCCCTGTAGTTCAGTTCTTCACCCCTGTAGTTCAGTTCTTCACCCCTGTAGTTCAGTTCTTCACCCCTGTAGTTCAGTTCCTCACCCTTGTAGTTCAGTTCCTCACCCTTGTAGTTCAGTTCCTCACCCTTGTAGTTCAGTTCCTCACCCTTGTAGTTCAGTTCCTCACCCTTGTAGTTCAGTTCCTCACCCCTGTAGTTCAGTTCCTCACCCTTGTAGTTCAGTTCCTCACCCTTGTAGTTCAGTTCCTCACCCCTGTAGTTCAGTAGTTCAGTTCCTCACCCCTGTAGTTCAGTTCCTCACCCCTGTAGTTCAGTTCCTCAGCCCTGTAGTTCAGTTCCTCAGCCCTGTAGTTCAGATCCTCAGCCCTGTAGTTCAGATCCTCAGCCCTGTGTAGTTCTGTAGTTCAGATCCTCAGCCCTGTAGTTCAGATCCTCAGTTCCTCCCTGTAGTTCAGTTCCTCACCCTTGTAGTTCAGTTCCTCACCCCTGTAGTTCAGTTCCTCACCCTTGTAGTTCAGTTCTTCACCCTTGTAGTTCAGTTCCTCACCCCTGTAGTTCAGTTCCTCACCCTTGTAGTTCAGTCCTCACCCCTGTAGTTCAGTTCCTCCCCTGTAGTTCAGTTCCTCAGTTCAGTTCCTCACCCCTGTAGTTCCCTGTAGTTCAGTTCCTCACCCCTGTAGTTCAGTTCCTCACCCCTGTAGTTCAGTTCCTCACCCCTGTAGTTCAGTTCCTCAGCCCTGTGTAGTTCAGTTCCTCAGCCCTGTAGTTCAGTTCCTCAGCCCTGTAGTTCAGTTCCTCAGCCCTGTAGTTCAGTTCCTCAGCCCTGTAGTTCAGTTCCTCAGCCCTGTAGTTCAGATCCTCAGCCCTGTAGTTCAGATCCTCCTCAGTTCCTCACCCCTGTAGTTCAGTTCCTCAGCCCTGTAGTTCAGTTCCTCACCCCTGTTCAGTTCAGTTCCTCACCCCTGTAGTTCAGTTCCTCACCCCTGTAGTTCAGTTCCTCACCCTTGTAGTTCAGTTCTTCACCCTTGTAGTTCAGTTCCTCACCCCTGTAGTTCAGTTCCTCACCCTTGTAGTTCAGTTCCTCACCCCTGTAGTTCAGTTCACCCTTGTAGTTCAGTTCTTCACCCTTGTAGTTCAGTTCCTCACCCTCACCCCTGTAGTTCAGTTCCTCACCCTTGTAGTTCTGTTCCTCACCCTTGTAGTTCAGTTCCTCAGTTCAGTTCCTCACCCCTGTAGTTCAGTTCCTCACCCCTCAGTTCAGTTCCTCACCCTTGTAGTTCAGTCACCCTCACCTCACTGTAGTTCAGTTCCTCACCCTGTAGTTCAGTTCCTGTAGTTCAGTTCCTCACCCCTGTAGTTCAGTTCCTCACCCCTGTAGTTTCCTCACCCCCTGTAGTTCAGATCCTCACCCCCTGTAGTTCAGATCCTCACCCCCTGTAGTTCAGTTCCTCAGCCCTAGTAGTTCAGATCCTCAGCCCTGTAGTTCAGA